AGCTTGGAAGTAGTTTTGGCAAATTGGTTTTCTCGAAAGCCTCTTAATACATGAAAAATTATACCTTTACAGATCACGGGAGTTAAAACCTAAACCACGCCCCTCCGAAGAAATGGAGTCAAGGTTAAAGAGAGCTGGTAAATAAAAACAAATAAAATACAACCCTGACAAACAATTACAATTATCTTAGAGTTTAGTGGGGTGGGGTGGGGTTGGAGGAAAGGGGGAGTTGGTGGAGTGGGGGAAGGGTGGGGTACCAGATGTTTAACGATCTTTGGCTCGGAGCCAACAGTCTTTAGCATACCATGCAATTCTCTAAACTGCAGCTTAATTAGTGATATGGCTCCGCCATCAAATTTTTTTCTTTCCTTCTGCTCCGAATATCACTGCTGGCAAATGATATTAATAATAATTCTAAAAAGTGGAAGTAAACATAAAACAGGAAAACGAAACAAAAACATATATACTTACACAGGAAACCTGTATTTGTAAATATAACATGGTGGGAGCTAAATCCGTTCAAATTTAGGAAGACGATTTTAGCCACCAGTTAAAGAAATCAGACTAGGGCTGTTAATCATGACTAATGAGTTTATAAAAACAAAAATAAAAAAATACAAATTTCTTTAATTGTTTGGCAGTCATTATTAGGGTATAAAACCATGTAATTGGAAAGCCAGATGGCGAATGGAATGTCTATGGTTCAGAAATACAGAATACTTATCTTCAAGGTTGATTAGTGTTAAGTAACCATATCCGATTTCAATGCAATGAAGATTAGGTAAATTTGAAGATTTCAATTCGTAGTGTCTATGCAAAATTGGGTAACTTGGATGACTTTAAAAAACTAAGATTTTAATGAGAAAAAAATATGAAAAAATATTCTGTAAAAAAAATACTTGCGAAAGAAAATCTATGTATTGTATATTGTCTTTTTATAGCGCGATCTTTCCGTAACTTTTTTTTCAAATATTTATTTATTTATTTATATCTATACCGTTGTTTACACGACTCTATATATGTCCGCTTAGGACCATATTGGCGGTACGCACGTGCGTATGTGCGTGATACTAAAATAAGAACAATTTGCCTTGAGTTAGCCTGCTAAATACGTTTTATCAGTTCTAAATCGTTTAATTTCTCGGTTTCTTTGTCAACATAGTTCCTTTTCGCCTGATATGTACGGGACAGGTTCATCGATCAGTTCAGAAAAAAGATAAAATCTTGGACCTGCGCTCAGTTGTTTTAGCGGCTACTGCTTCTAAGTGGAAAAATGAGTATAACACAACGTATGTTGTCTAGTCGAGCCGTCGCGTGTCTATCACGAGCTGTAGAGCACAGAATTAGTCATCAGTCTGGTAGTGTTTCTGTCTAAGGAAGTTGCCTCCTCAGTCAACGGATGTGAAATAAAATACCAGTCACTTCCAGTCACACTTTACCGATTTAATCAACGGACACGTGCAGGAGTTCTAGTTTTGACGTCGTCATGGTTCTTATTGTAACATGCCCCTGTGCATCGAGTTTCCCCATGAGTTTTCTGTTGCAAGTCAGTGACCAAAATGATCGCATCATACTGTTATGGAATGTAGTGTCTAGTCAATCAACCATGACGCTCGTGTGATTGATATTTACTTCAGACAAGATGGCCACTTCAACTGCTAAATCGGATTCTGGTTTGTATTTTGATAACCCACTCATCACATCTGAAGTGATATATGTGTTTATGTTGCACCGACGGCCCAGAGCGATATCAGTTGTCGGACAAGTATTAAAGACTTAGCCAGAATCGATACTCCTGGAATGATCAGCGTGTTCAATGTTAAACGTACCGTCAGTTGGAGGAGGAGATAGGTACAGCATAGTTGTCTATAACAGAAAGAAAACAGGACAGATTTCCTACACATAATCCACAGTACATCGACAGCGAAAGTTAAAAAAGGACAGGAAGTCCCAAGGACCAGAACAACAACATAGACGGACGGAAGGACAACTTCACAAAATGATGGAAGACACTAAAACCAAAGGACAACAGGACAGAGAGTCAACAGAACGAGAGCACAATCAAAATTACGGGAGAACAATAACATTACACCTACATTGAGAACAGAGGTCGAAATGAGAAAGGGAAAATACAAAGCCCAGGACACAACATGATGAGATAGTAACGGAAAAATAAAAACCAGGGGAGAGAACTAGACGAGATAATGACGGAAAATAAAACCAAGGGGAGACAACAGAACGAGATAATAACTAAGATTAAAACCATGGAGACAACAAGACGAGATAATAACGATAAATAAAATCCAGGGACGACAACAGGACGAGATAATAACGAAAAATAAAATCCAGGGGAGACCACAAGACGAGATAATAACGATAAATAAAATCCAGGGGAGACAACAGGACGAGATGATAATGGAAAATTAACAAGCCCTGGAGACAATAGGACGAGATAGTTACGGAAAAATAAATAAAAAATAGGAGAGACAATAGGACGAGATTTTAATGGAAAAATTAATAAATATAACAAAACCAGGGGAGATAACAGGACGAGATAATAAGAGAAAATTAAAAATAAAAAAGGGGAGACAACAGGACGGAAAAACAACAGTATAAGATGACGTGCTAATGGACGGGTGAAGAACATGACGGAATGACTTGAGGAAGAGATAACAGGAATACAGGAAATCTACAGGAAGGGGGTGAAAATGGCATTGAAAGATTGTACGACATCAGGATGAGAGGATAACAGGAATACAGGAAATCTACAGGAAGGGGGTGAAAATGGCATTGAAAGATTGTACGACATCAGGATGAGAGGATTACAGGAATACAGGAAATCTACAGGAAGGGGGTGAAAATGGCATTGAAAGATTGTACGACATCAGGATGAGAGGATAACAGGAATACAGGAAATCTACAGGAAGGGGGTGAAAATGGCATTGAAAGATTGTACGACATCAGGATGAGAGGATAACAGGAATACAGGAAATCTACAGGAAGGGGGTGAAAATGGCATTGGAAGATTGTACGACATCAGGATGAGAGGATAACAGGAATACAGGAAATCTACAGGAAGGGGGTGAAAATGGCATTGGAAGATTGTACGACATCAGGATGAGAGGATAACAGGAATACAGGAAATCTACAGGGAGGGGTGAAAACGGCATTGAAAGATTGTACGACACCAGGATGAGAGGATTACAGGAATACAGGAAATCTACAGGGGTGGTGAAAACGGCATTGGAAGATTGTACGACATCAGGATAAAGGGATTACAGGAATACTGGTATTCTAAAGAAAGAGTTGAAAATGGGACATGAAGACGCCATTACAATAGAACGAGATGATTTATTGACCGGAAATCTACAGGAAAGGGTGACAACGGACCGGAAGACTGCATGACAACAGGACGAGAAGATTTATTGATCGGAAATCTACAGGAAAGGGTGACAACGGACCGGAAGACTGTATGACAACAGGACGAGAAGATTTATTGACCGGAAATCTACAGGAAAGGGTGACAACGGACCGGAAGACTGTATGACAACAGGACGAGAAGATTTATTGATCGGGAATCTACAGGAAAGGGTGACAACGGGACAAGAAGACTGTATGACAACAGGACGAGAAGATTTATTGATCGGAAATCTACAGGAAAGGGTGACAACGGGACAGGAAGACTGTATGACAACAGGACGAGAAGATTTATTGATCGGAAATCTACAGGAAAGGGTGACAACGGGACAGGAAGACTGTATGACAACAGGACGAGAAGATTTATTGATCGGTAATCTACAGGAAAGGGTGACAACGGGACAGGATGACTGTATGACAACAGGACGAGAAGATTTATTGATCGGAAATCTACAGGAAAGGGTGACAACGGGACAGGAAGACTGTATAACAACAGGACGAGAAGATTTATTGATCGGGAATCTACAGGAAAGGGTGACAACGGGACAGGAAGACTGTATGACAACAGGACGATAAGAAGATAGGCGGACAAAGGAAGGAGGTGTTACATAGCTGAAGTACTGAGAAAACAACATGATCAAATGACAAGAAAATAGGTGGACAATAGGACGGACGGGTTACAAGAATGAAGTACTGAGAAAACAACATGATCAAATGACAAGAAGGTAGGTGGACAATAGGACGGACGGGTTACAGGAACTGAAGTACAACAAGAGAACGACAACACGTTTTTTTTCATTCCAGAAGTTGAGCCTTTCATTACCATGTGGAGTCCGTCCAGATAATTTTGCGAAATCCTGGGTAATTTTCATCATTCTTTAACTTTGTGTACGTATACTTGATGAAGAAATCGATTACCTGTCCTAGCATATCCCAAATTGTCTGTACGATAACTAATTAGCAAATATATCCATCGTCTTCTGTTACGTGTACGACAAAGTTAAGAAAAGCTGTACACACATGGTAGAAGACATCATTAATTCGATAACCTATTCCTTTCGCAGGCTTCATCGATTTCGATTTCGATTTTCGTTTATCTTAATCACTCTTTTTTATTCTGACGATCAAAGAAAAATCTTGCACTTCATTAATCATGACTGGCACTATGCAATTCTGTAGCGGCATTGACGAACTACCACAATCGATCACACTGATTGGAATTCTGTTCGGAAAACAGAAGCTCACAGCGTTGCGGACATACCATGTCATGGTGACTACGGTATTACAGAGTCGTTCCGAATGGATGCCAACACGAAAATGACAATGATGTGTGTGCTTTAGCATGCCTTGTGTTATCGATACACTTCGGGATACATCAGAAGCTAATGCACGTGTGTAGCTTCTCTACCGATAACCCGACGGCCAAGTCATATTTCTGTGGCCGGTAGAACGCGAATACACAAGGGAAAGAAAATAAAACATCTTCCCTCACTCAGCCGCCTGCTGTCTCTACAAATATAGCTCACAAACTACCGCAGTACCGACTCACGTGCATATATAAAAATAGATATCTATCACTGCACGAGGTGCGCGCTTAGGTTATTGAGTCTCCGTGATTTTTCGGGGGGAAGCTGTATATCTGAGAACGTACGGATATATGACATCGAAACATACAGTAAGGTATGTGTTTAATTTCACAAAACTATTGTAACGCCCAGTGTGTGTGTGTGTGTGTGTGTGTGTGTGTGTGTGTGTGCATGCCAGTTAGGAAATGAAGACTTGGCGTATGTATTGTGAAGTGTTTCTGAACTACTGCGTAGGATAACGAGCTGGGCGACAGGAAAGTGCAATGTACAAGTGTGCAAGATCTATACATAATCGAGGATAAATGCTTAAGTCGACATTATGTGCCAGGAGCTATCACTCTTAAAAACAAAAATGAAAAAAAATGTACCGTTACCTCCCGGTAATACATGCACTGATTACGAAACTTGAAACAAACGATTGTCCCGATGTAATTATCACAATGTATTTACCATAGATATCTTACTCTATCGTTCTCGTAAAATTACGTTTGTTTATCAGTCCATCGACGATATTTCGGTGACGTCACGAGAATTGTGTTCGGTCGTTATGGAACAGAAAATTATTTAAGCCTTAAAAGTGTTTCTGATCAGTCGCATTTAAAACAACATCACGTGACATTTCAGTCGCCTAGAAAGTGTCTTTTATTCGGTGCTACAGATAACATTAAACTTAAAGTTAAGAACAAACCCCGTCTTTGGGAGATAAAGATTATGTACAGTACGATAAAAAGTGTTTATTTATGTGTGTATCTTGATATCAATCACATGCAAGATGTTACTTTCACGACAGTAGCACACGTTTACCTGTAAAACTACACGTGTGAGAAAGTTTCAGGTACGATAATACTTCTCTTGAAAATGAGAATCCATAGTCTCTTTCCTTCAATTCCATTTCCACCTATACAATACCACCCAATACCACCTATATAATGCCACCTATACAATACCACCCAATACCACCTATACAATACCACCTATACAATACCACCTATATAATGCCACCTATACAATACCACCTATACAATACCACCTATACAATACCACCTATATAATACCACCTATATGATACCACCCCTATATAATACCACCTATATAATACCACCTATATCATACCACCCGTATATAATCCCACCTATACAATACCACCTATATAATACCACCCCTATATAATACCATCTATATAATACCACCCCTATATAATACCACCTATACAATACCACCCAATACCACCTATATAATGCCACCTATACAATACCACCCAATACCACCTATATAATGCCACCTATACAATACCACCCAATACCACCTATACAATACCACCTATACCACCTATACAATACCACCTATACAATACCACCTATACAATACCACCTATATAATATATATATACCACCCCTATATAATACCACCTATATAATACCACCTATATCATACCACCCGTATATAATCCCACCTATACAATACCACCTATATAATACCACCCCTATATAATACCATCTATATAATACCACCCCTATATAATACCACCTATACAATACCACCTATATAATACCACCTATATAATATCACCCCTATATAATACCACCCTTATATAATACCACCTATATCATACCACGTATATAATACTACCTATATAATACCACCTATATAATACCACACCCCTATATATACCTATATAATACCACCCCTATATAATACCACCTATATAATAACACCCTTATATAATACCACCCCTATATAATACCACCCCTATATATAACTACCTATATACTACAACCCCTATATAACACCACCCCTATATATAACTACCTATATAATACCACTCCTATATAATACCATCCCTATATAATACCATCCCTATATAATAATAACACCCGTATATATTACCACCTATATAATACCACCTATATGATACCATTCCTATATAATACCACCGATATAATACCACCCCTATATAATACCACCCCTATATAATAACACCCGTATATAATACCACCTATATAATAACACCCCTATATAATACCACCTATATAATAACACCCCTATATAATACCACCCGTATATAATACCACTTATACAATACCACCCCTATATAATACCATCTATATAATAACACCCGTATATAATACCACCTATATAATACCACCCCTATATAATACCACCCCTATATAATACCACCTATATAATATCACCCCTATATAATACCAGCCCTATATAATAACACCTATATAATACCACCCCTATATAATACCATCTATATAATAACACCCGTATATAATACCACCTATATAATAACACCCCTATATAATACCACCTATATAATACCACCCCTATATAATACCATCTATATAATAACACCCCTATATAATACCACCTATATAATAACACCCCTATATAATACCACCCGTATATAATACCACTTATACAATACCACCCCTATATAATACCATCTATATAATAACACCCGTATATAATTCCACCTATATAATACCACCCCTATATAATACCACCCCTATATCATACCACCTATATAATATCACCCCTATATAATACCAGCCCTATATAATAACACCTATATAATACCACCCCTATATAATATCACCTATATAATACCACGTATATTATACCACCTATATAATACCACCTAAAAAATACCATCGCTATATAATACCACCTATATAATACCACCCCTATATTTTACCATCTATATAATACCACCTATATAATACCACCCCTATATATAACTACCTGTATAATACCACCCCTATATAATACCACCCCTATATAATACCACCTATATAATATCACCCCTATATAATACCAGCCCTATATAATAACACCTATATAATACCACCCCTATATAATACCACCCCTATATAATACCACCTATATAATACCACGTATATTATACCACCTATATAATACCACCTAAAAAATACCATCGCTATATAATACCACCTATATAATACCACCCCTATATTTTACCACCTATATAATACCACCTAAAAAATACCATCGCTATATAATACCACCTATATAATACCACCCCTATATATAACTACCTGTATAATACCACCCCTATATAATACCATCCCTATATAATACCACCCATATATAATACCACCTATATAATACCACCCCTTTATAATACCACATATATAATAACACCTATATAATACCACCCCTATATAATACCACCCCTATATAATACCACCTATATAATAACACCTATATAATACCACCCCTATATAATACCACCCCTATATAATACCACCTATATAATAACACCTATATTATACCACCCATATATTATACCACCCCTATATAATACCACCTATATAATACCACGTATGTTATACCACCCATATAATACCACCTATATAATACCACCCCTATAAAATACCATCTATATAATAACACCCGTATATAATACCACCTATATAATACCACCCTTATATAATACCACCTATATAATAACACTAGTATATAATACCACCTATATAATACCACACCTATATAAAACTATCTATATAATATCACCCCTATAATAACACCCGTATATAATACCACCCCTATATAATAACACCCGTATATAATACCACCCCTATATTATACCACCTATATAATACCATCCCTATATAAAACCACCTATGTAATAACACCCTTATATAATATCACCCTTATATGATATCACCTATATAATACCACCTATATAATACCACCTATATAATACTACCCCTATATTATACCACCGATATAATACCATCGCCATATAATACCACCTATACAATACCACCTATATAATACCACCTATATAATATCACCCCTATATAATACCACCCTTATATAATACCACCTATATCATACCACCCGTATATAATACTACCTATACAATACCACCTAGATAATACCACCTATATAATACCACCCCTATATAATACCACCTATATAATAACACCCTTATATAATACCACCCCTATAATAACACCCGTATATAATACCACCCCTATATAATACCACCCCTATATATAACTACCTATATACTACAACCCCTATATAACACCACCCCTATATATAACTACCTATATAATACCATCCCTATATAATACCATCCCTATATAATTCCACCTATATAATACCACCCCTATATAATACCACCTATATAATAACACCCGTATATATTACCACCTATATAATACCACCTATATGATACCATTCCTATATAATACCACCTATATAATACCACCCCTATATAATACCACCCCTATATAATACCATCTATATAATAACACCCGTATATAATACCACCTATATAATAACACCCCTATATAATACCACCCCTATATAATACCATCTATATAATAACACCCGTATATAATACCACCTATATAATAACACCCCTATATAATACCACCTATATAATACCACCCCTATATAATACCACCTATATAATAACACCCCTATATAATACCACCCGTATATAATACCACTTATACAATACCACCCCTATATAATACCATCTATATAATAACACCCGTATATAATACCACCTATATAATACCACCCCTATATAATACCACCCCTATATAATACCACCTATATAATATCACCCCTATATAATACCAGCCCTATATAATAACACCTATATAATACCACCCCTATATAATACCACCGATATAATACCACGTATATTATACCACCTATATAATACCACCTAAAAATACCACCCCTATATTTTACCACCTATATAATACCACCTATATAATACCACCCCTATATAATACCATCTATATAATACCACCCATATAATACCACCTGTATAATACCACCCCTATATAATACCATCGCTATATAATACCACCTATATAATACCACCCCTATATTTTACCACCTATATAATACCACCCCTATATAATACCACCTATATAATACCATCTATATAATACCACCCCTATATAATACCACCTATATAATACCACCCCTATATAATACCACCCCTATATAATACCACCTATATAATAACACCTATATTATACCACCCCTATATAATACCACCTATATAATACCACGTATGTTATACCACCCATATAATACCACCTATATAATACCACCCCTATAAAATACCACCCGTATATAATACCACCTATATAATACCACCCTTATATAATACCACCTATATAATAACACTCGTATATAATACCACCTATATAATACCACACCTATATAAAACTATCTATATAATACCACCCCTATAATAACACCCGTATATAATACCACCCCTATATAATAACACCCGTATATAATACCACTCCTTTATAATACCACCTATATAATACCACCTATATAATACTACCCCTATATTATACCACCTATATAATACCATCCCTATATAAAACCACCTATGTAATAACACCCTTATATAATATCACCCTTATATGATATCACCTATATAATACCACCTATATAATACTACCCCTATATTATACCACCTATATAATACCATCGCTATATAATACCACCTATAAAATACCACCCCTATATTATACCACCTATATAATACCATCTATATAATACCTTCCTATATATAACTACCTATATAATACCACCCCTATATAATACCATCCCTATATAATACCTCCTATATAATAACACCTATATAATACCACGTATATTATACCACCTATATAAAACCACCTATATAATACCACCCCTATATAATACCATCCTTATATAATACCACCTATATAATACCATCCTTATATAATACCACCTATATAATACCACACCTATATATTACCACCCCTATAATAACACCTATATAATACCACACCTAGATATTACCACCCCTATATAATACCACCTATATAATACCACCCCTATATAATACCACCTATATAACACCACACCTATATATTACCACCCCTATATAATACCACCTATATAATACCATACCTATATATTACCACCCCTATATAATACCACCTATATTATACCACACCTATATATTACCACCCTTATATAATACCACTTATATAATACCACTTATATAATACCACACCTATATATTACCACCCCTATATAATACCACCCGTATATAATACCACCTATATTATACCACACCTATATATTACCACCCCTATATAATACCACCTATATTATACCACACCTATATATTACCACCCCTATATAATACCACCTACATAATACCACCCCTATATAATACCACCCGTATATAATACCACCTATATTATACCACACCTATATATTACCACCCTTATATAATACCACTTATATAATACCACTTATATAATACCACACCTATATATTACCACCCCTATATAATACCACCTACATAATACCACCCCTATATAATACCACCTATATAATACCACACCTATATATTACCACCCCTATATAATACCACATATATTATACCACCCCTATATAATACCACCTATATAATACTATCCCTATATAATACCACTTATATAATACCACACCTATATATTACCACCCCTATATAATACCACCTACATAATACCACCCCTATATAATACCATATAATATATATATATTTCTTGTTTGATGACATTGAAACTGGAATAAATGATAAAGTCAATTTTCCCATGCATAATTGTAAAATATTTTGTCTGAGAATGAGGTGTTGTACAGAAAACGGATGATTCGTTCTATTTAAGAGTTATCTTTCTTCTTTCGCCTTCTCTAGAACTGAAATGTAAACATTGTCTCGAAACACGGACAGAGTGATGCCAGATTAACTACTTGATATGAAATAAATAAACGTTTTAAAGAAATAAATGGTATTTATTTAAATAAATCTATTTCTATTTTTTCTGTGCGAAAGTTTGCAGAACTCTCTATGATACATGAACAAAAACCTATTACACAAGATGGCTTCAGATTAGAGAGTATGAATTTAGAAAACAAAACCAATGTCAGCATTCACACTGAGAAAAACTATTTTTCTTGGATAACGCCACGACTGAGTTGTTGTTGCTTTGTGTTTTAGACAATAGACATCTGATGGATCAGGCGAATTCTTCAGAAGACCAAAGTAGTGACCTGGACCCAGGAACAGGCGCTGCCGCCGTATCTTCTGAAACACAGATGACCACACATGTGTCCGGGGGAGTGATGGACGATACTTGTAATGGACAACCTGACGCTCAGGTTCCGGACGAAATGGACCAGTCTCATACTGTTGTTAGAACAAGTTGCAATCAAGCAAGACTTACTGGAAATGAAGTAGATACCACAGCCCCTGATACATCACAAGGAAATGATGGCGCAAGCAGTGTACAACCAAACACCGGAAGTGTTCTGGTTAACGGGTCTAGTATTTTGGAAAATGAACCAGAAAATGGAGAAAATATTTTCGACTCAGAGTTTGATGTTATTGATAATATAGCACGTGAAGGAGGGCCCTTAGAAGAACGTGTGTCCTACATTCCAAACGATGCTTCCCGTCAGGTAGACGGTATTGTTTATGTTGGGTCAATAAGGGAAACAGTTGCAATGCGTAACCTCAGCAGTATCGACCCTGCTGTGAATTCAGCTGAAGAAACCAACCAACAAGATCAATCCTCCACTCAAAATATTTCAGAAAACAAGATTGATAGAACTGAAGAAGTATCAGGGATTGTCGATAGTACGGAAATGGTAACTCTGGGAGTATGTGGTGTTAGAAGGACACCAGAGGAAGTAAAATATACAGCAGAGCCTTCAGCGGATCTCTTCAGAATTGAACCGACTCTAGAGGGACACGACACTACTGAACGGGCATTAGAGGAACACGGCACAACTGAACTGGCATCAGAGGAACTCGGCACTACTGAACGGACATCAGAGGAACTCGGCACTACTGAACGGACATCAAAGGAACTCGGCACTACTGAACGGACAACAGAAGAACTCGGCACTACTGAACGGACAACAGAGGAACTCGACACTACTGAACTGGCATCAGAGGAACTCGACACTACTGAACAAAGAACAGGAGATGTGAGCAATACCCACGAGACATCAGGCGAAGTAAGTAGTTCAGAAAAAACATCGTCAGAAGTCGGAAGTTCCGATAAGACGTCAACGGAAACTGAATGTGAAGGAATAGTTAACTTTCGAAAAGTAGTTCAAGAGTTCTTGGACGGTATTAAGGATCATATGCCCGTAGAAGAACCAGATACAACGGAATCGCTGGCTGCGTTTGTACGGGAAAATATTGTTTCGAAAAATATCAGGACCATAAAATATGCCTTGAGGGATTTAAGTAAACCTGATCGTAAAGAGGTCGTAGATTACGAAATTGACGGGAATTCGGCTTTGTTTATAGCATGTGAGAAGGGTACGGAGGAAATGGTCACTTATTTTGCAGTGGAATGTGATGCCGATACTAACAAGAAAGGAAAATACGATTGCGGAGAAAAAGAGATGGTAGTCGCGCCGTTGTGGCTTGCAACTATAGAAGAAAAACCTGAAATTGTGAAGATTCTTGCTTGTAATGGCGCTGATGTAAACGCTGTATGTTCAACTGGTTCTACAGCAGTTCACGCAGCATGCTACATGAATAACACTGAGTTGGTGGAAGCATTGTGCAATAGCGGAAGTGACGTCAATATTCCGGATACGTTTGGAAGCACTTGTCTAAAGGATTCCGTTGATAACATTGAGATATGTAAAATTTTAATTGATCATGGCGCAGACGTCAACTACAGGAGGGAAAACCAATATTCCATACTACATCATGCTATCAAAGCACATAGTTTGGAGACAGTGGAACTTCTTGTCCGTAACGGTGCCGGCATCATGATCAAAGACTTCGAAGGGAATGATTGTCTGAGATACGCGGTTCTTGTTTATGCCCCTGATATTATGGAGTTTTTATTGGATAGCATAAATGCGAACGCGCCGAAGTCAGCCGACGTCTACGATTTAATGGGAGCTATGGCTGTCGGGAGGGGAGAGTATAAAGAGGGATATGAATATTGGTTACGGTCCATGTACATCCGAACTGAGCTTCGTGGCGGTGCAACGTCTCTTCGGGAAGTTCCGGAAATATTCGGGAAGGATGTAGAGGTACCTCATTCTATTTCTGACATGGTTTCACTGGCTAAAAATTGTGACGCAATGGACGCTCTCGCCCTAGCTATTACGTCACATCAATTAGGACCGACCCATTGGGATACAATACAGAGAGTTCTCCTACAGTCAACATCACTCTTGCACAACGACGATCTCATTCAAGCGTTTGATATGACACGATACGTATATTCATTGTTGTTGAATAAGTATAAAGTTCTACATAAGATGCAAGAGTTTGCCTTATCTCAACTGTTTGAAATCTGCTCCAAATTTCAGATACAGACTCTCCGCGGTACATCAATACCAAGGTTCAAAGAAATATTGGACATATTTCGGGATATGATTGACTTTTTGGAAAAAGCACATCTTCTAAAAGATACAGACACGGAATATTTCATACAGAATTCCAGTATATTTGATAAGGTCATTGACCACGTGTTTGATATGATATACTTACTGAAGGTCAACAACAAGTCTTCAGATGAAAAATTCTACTTCAAATCTCAGATGGAACGATTGATACAGATGAACCTCTGTGACCTCCATGGATCATCTCTCTTACACAAGTCGCTAACCAGGAAGCCCAAAATCGTATACCATTTCATGGAAACGAATCCACGAGAAGCACGTCACGAGGATCTCTGCGTCACGCGAGAACTGATTCACGCAGGCGCAAACGTCAATGTTCAGGATTTGAAAAGGGACACGCCACTACACAGTCATCTGAAATGGATTGAACAGTACAATTTCTTCTCGAAGAAGATAATTGAATTGTTTCTTGATTATGGACTCCATGTTGACCTGATCGACATCGATAACATCTCACTGTTAGTCATGATAAAGGCTCGAGGGCTCACCATCTGTCCTGTCAAATATCACACTCTGCAATGTTTAGCGGTCAAGGTCATTCGTGATCATGGAATCCACTTTCGGACGCTCTTACCAATTCCTCTTCAACGTTTTGTCGATATGCATAAATAGAAATACTTTCGATCTATAAAAAAGAGAACAAAGTTCAAATGTAAAATTAGATCGCTTGTGGTTGTTTGGACGATAAATTACCCTGTCGAAATACGAATTGCAAAAATATATATATATATATATGTGTGTGTGTGTGTAATATACTTTTATCAACTAATTACGAACATATGGACAATAATGCCGTTTAACAGTGCAGCGAATAATATGTTTTACGTGTTTTATTGTAATCAATAAACAGATGTTTTCTGACAGTTCTCACTCTAAGTCAGACACCCAGGGAAGTAAATGAACATACACTGTTGTTTTCAATCGGATATCAGACAATGTTTCTCTCTTCATAACAGTTACTGTAGATATACATAATTTAAGAGATAATGTTTTAGCGCTTTTTGCATTAAAGACATTGCGCTAAAATAGGATTGCTGTGAGAGCACTTGGTGTGTCATTAATGTAGAAATAATTGCTAAGATTGCGCGAAAACATTATTTCTCTTTTCCAAAAATGTTATTGTGCCAAAGGAAGTTTGTTTACAGTGCAAGGAATATGAAATATTAAAGTATGCAAGTTAATTAAGTTATTCAAAGTTATCATATAAATATTATATTACTTTATCAGTCAATTAACAATTTTAGTATAAATACGACCACATTTCTAGCCAGTGTGGATCGGTTGCTGAAGGGAAGAGCGGAGACTAGCCTCTCTCCAGTATGGCCTCCACCCTTCTCCTCAGCAACCGAACCATACTGGCTAGAAATGTGGTCGTATTTATACTTAAACTGTTGATTAATTGATAAAGCACTATTACACATAAGCTAACAGGTAAACAAGGATCGAATAATACATGAGTTATTTACATGGCCTTACATAAATTCGGCTGTTTACAACAAGATAAGGTTACACTGACCTTCATACAGACTGCTTAAATATGTTTCAGGTAATGACATATAATCAGGGAACGAAATAATACATGCACATGTGTAGTCGATCAGCAACGACAAAAAGCCTCTGACCACTGGTCAATGCATTATTGTTCACAGTAGATGTCAGTAATAAATTAATTCTGGCAGATACATTATGATGAAATATCTGACTTATATCTCATTGTTCATGTGTCATGTTATATAATTTGAATGAGTGACTGTCATGATTGTTGGCAGTTTGATGTTTGAAAAACTTTTTTAGTTGAATGTACTGGAGTTCAGATTGTTGATCTGAAAAGTATTGTCAGAGATATCAAGATCTTGGTCATCACTGGTTTTCATCAATGTCGGAATGTGTGTCACGGTGTGGTCGTCTTGATAACATATCAGCTATAATATTTTTACCTCCCATAATGTACTTAATTTTTGAGTTGTAAGACATTATTGTTAGCGCCCAAAAATTCCTTTTTTGAACATCTGAGTTCAGTAAAGCTTTTAAAGGTTTATGGTCAGTCTTTACTGTGCACCATATAAATAATGATAGTTTGTCTAAAGCATAACGAATGGTATACGCTTCCTTTTCTACAGTAGACCACTTACATTGGGTTTTATTACGTTTATTGGCTTTCCATTTGTTTCGCCTAGAATAATTTCTTCTCCTGGGTCACATTTTTGTGTTAGAAAGGCGCAAAATACAATGATCAGGTTTTGAAACATCAGGAAAACTCAAAAGAGGAACAACAAATAAACTTTAGTTGAGAAATGGAAAGGCTTTTTGACATTCAGAAGTCCAATTGAATTTTGCATATTTTTTTTATAAGATTTATTATTGGAGCAGCAATGACCGAAAATTTTGGAATGAAACGACGATAAAAACTACAGAGTGAGATCAAAGATCTACATAGTTTGGCGTCTGTAGGGCGTTGCATTGACTGTGTGACTTCTACCTTGTTATTGTCAGGCTTCACGCCTTGGCGATTGATTGTAAATCCTTAATACTTTGTTTCTTGTTGAAGGAAAGACATTTTTTTCAGTTTCAGCTTTAGGCCATGTTTCTGAAGCCTAGAGAAAACTTGTATGATATGTCTATAGTCATTTGTACTAAGTCAGTATGCGCGAGATCTATCATTCTCTGAAAAAATGACAATGTTGTCTTCAACAAGATTGGTCATCATATTTTTGTGAGCGTCTGGAGTATCAAGATTTTGTAGTGAAGTGTGAGATTGGTGAATGTTTTCTTTTGATGTCTCACTGTTTGATATAAGGGAAGTTATAGCGTCAATATGTGTTTCTGCGAGTCTAGCGATTGAACAACCTTTATATAATATAACGGTTCGCTGAGATGAATTGATCATTGTCGGGTAATCTAGTCTGGTAATTAGAAATTGTATATATAGACTCTAGCACTTGGATGTCTGGCTCACATGTTAAAGAGCTACAATGATTATGTTCTAAATGAAAAACCGTATCACCTTTGATTGATCAATAATGTGGAATTTTACCTGTACAGACAGTATTAGATTGTGGTAGTAAAACAACTTTCTGAGACAAGCGTACAATAGAAGACACATACGAATCATTAATGATTGGAAAGAGAGTGCTTCGTACTTTTATAACACTTTGATCAAAAATGTGGCTTACTCCTTCTTTAACAAACCAATCTCTTCCTAAGATGAAGTTTATTGACATATCTTTTGATACACAAAATGTATGAGTGATTTCCATGCCTCTAATAGTGAATTTTAAAGCAATTTTCAACTCGTCAGATTTAATTGTTCTATGACGCTCAATTCAGTAGCACTATCTAATAAACTTCTGTATTTCTGTTTACTTACTTTAAGCTGACATGAATTAGGAGAACTACCGAGAGTATTAATTGTATAAGATAGGCTGCCTGACTGAGATTCGATTTCAGCCTCATGATTTTGTGCTTCGTGTTGGGAATATGAATGTCTATTGAATGTTTTGTTTTGATATTTGTTCAGCTGTGGAATATTGTTGTTGAGAATTAGGCTAATATGACTGTGACTTTTTGTGTCTGTGATAGTTGTTTGTAACCCTGGGGCGATAATGTTGCGTAGACTCGCCTGAATGTGTTGCAGAAGAAGTCCTATGACCAGAAGGATTATGAGGGTGTTTGTATGTAGAGGGTTGGTCTAGATAAGTATGTCGGTCTGCTGGGTTAGATTATAATCCAGGTGAAGTTTGATATTGTGATTTGTGACTTGTGTTGTATTTCTGTGGCGGAGTTCTTGAAGGCATGCGAGTGTTCCATCCCTCCATAGCCTACATCACACTAAACCTACAACACCCCAATTGGACTTCTTCATTTCCACTCATCACCACTCGAAACAAACTTCATTTTACTGGCGCGGTGACCTCGGAAACCACCAGAATACAATCACCGGTCATTCATTGGGTAAGTAAATTTATTTTTACTTTTTTATCCGTACAAACATTTGAACCTGAGTAATTTTATCTATACATATACACATACATGTTTTACTATTTATAATTACTCATTTTCTTAATGCATAATGGCAGAAAATCAACAAATTCAATCTTCAACTGATATGCTATTCAGTTACCTACGCCTAATGCTATTAGTGTAAAAACATTATTCAATAACCAGTCACAACGACTTAAGGTATTAGACAGGTAAACTTTATGATGGGGACAGAATAAAACTGGACAATGGATGCGGGACATCGATAAACAGGCACATATTTCAGGCAATACACACAATAAGCATTTGTTAGCCTTGCAGTCGTCTACTTGCCCTGTAAGTGAATTCATTCAACATTATACCAAGGGTATAGAAAGTCCAAACTGGGATGATCTCAAAGCCCAGCTAACCCGTTGTTTTGGAGACATTCAAGGTTCAGCCCATGCTAAAGCAAATTCAGCAGCGGCCTGACGAAGCTGGCCAACTTTTTGCACAACGAATTGTGTCGTTGTTCAGAAAAAGTTTATGAAAACCAGGAATAACATTCTCCTGTTATTTCCCAACAGCACGATAGGTTTGTTGGGGATGGGTTAGAGGTTCCCGACATTAGGCTACAAGTTATAAGAGGACAGTTTAATGTTTTCGATAAGGCTGTAGATTGTGCCATGAGAGAAATGGACATTCGCCGTCAATTTCATCTCCGGTCCCAAAACAACCAGTTCCCTTCACAAATACACACAGCCCCATACAACACACACGCTCACACATTTAGGGATGAAGAACCAATAGATATAGTATGGATCGGTTTCTGGAGGGAAGAGCGGAGGCCAGACAGGAGAAAGGCTAGTCTCAACTGGCTGGACGCCCGCTCGCACGGGCTTTTGCCCGAGCAAGAACATATAAACTTTCGGAATGGAACACGTTTTTCATTTTAGGTACTCTTTCGGAAAATTTCATTTACCTTAGGTCTATTCTCTTGTTGAGGTGCAGCACGAATTATATACACATTGAAGATGTCACGACTGTTTCAGGGTACAAGCATTCTGCTATAGCTTAGGTTTATACATTGTAATATTGATGCGATATAATTGATGGGTAACATCTGTTAATGATATCCGTTAATTACATGACAACTGCAAACGAACACTTTTACTGGTACCAATAAAAGTTCCCTAAAGCACGTCTTTAGTTTACGATTTTGATTTCTCGAAGACGATTTTCAAATTCTGGGACAGAAAACGTTTATAGATATTACTTTCTTTTATGTCGTGATTTTATTTTTTTCTAAATAACGCTGAGTTGGCATGGTTAATCGATATCACAACAGAAACGTTACTTTAGAGAAATGGAATGGTGACTTATAACAGAGGATGAATCATCTTACGTAAAGACTGAAATCCTGCCGCGTAACTCTTTACCAACATGTAAAAGAAAGGTTTTAATCTCGGAAAAATATAGGATCTCATAGATTGTATCATCCATTTACAAGTTTCAGCTAGCTGTAATCGTATTGTTGTTTTTTCTCGGTCGATTCAAAGTCTGCATTTCCCATTGTTTTCCATCGATTTTCTTCCCGCACGAAATAAAATTTGATAAATAGAAATGTTTCTTTGTTGTAGTTATGTAAAAGACAGAGCTCGACCAGATACGGAATAGAAATAAACGGTTACCGATGTTCTTTAATGTTTAAACAGAACTTTCAAAACTAAACTCGCATTAAACAAGTGTCTAGTACATTCAAAAGATGAACAATTTATTCTTTGCTTCTAATTAGGATGAAACAGCATGAACTACATTACAATTTTTAAAAATGTTGATCAACAGTTGTTTGGACATACATGTACTAAATGGTAATATACTGTCTTGTTGAGTTGTATGGTGATCTTTAATACTATTTGTCTATTGTACATCTTTCTACAGGTCAACAGTAAGCTTGGCGATGACGTTGTAGTAGTACAATTGGTGTAAGATATCTAATGTTATACTACCATAAAAAGATATTCAAGTTGTCTCGATTCTCTTTCAAAATTGAAATATTTTCCCATGGGCATTTGATAAAATTATAAAGATATGTGATTTTCAAGTATAATGTGATTGAGACGTGATATATGTGTATATGTATGTACCTTTGGTAGGTCTTTGTAGAAACTCTCAAACACACAGCTGTACCCTCGGCTGTCTCAACCAATAACTTTAAATCCGAACAGACCACTTTGACTTAACTTCTTCACGTAAAATATTATACCCATATTGTCTTACAATTTTATTCGTCAAATAGTTCTACATGGACGGATTCACCTATGTAACAGATCATATACGACTGTCGTGTTCCAGATGTATAACTGAAACGTCTATTTTTGTTTACAGAATAGGTAGAATGTGTTGACCCAGCTGATCTGACAAAGGGTCGCATTCTTGGAAACTGATATCAAGTCCACTGTATTCATCAATGTTGTCGTACACCATTGAAAACGTGACACAGAGTTTAACTGAATATTGCAATCTCCTCTCGGATTCCGACATCGGTCATACGACCTTATACTAAAAGGCAGGAGGGATAATGATCCAGCAATGATATACCACAGAATGGAAACGGAAAAAATGAGTCACTGAAAGCGTATAAGGAAAACTTCCCGAAAGGATAAGTGTCTACTGCTTCATTGTCGATACCTGCCATAGATCAACATAAATATACTTAATGTCAGGTTCTCAAACCAAGAACCAGTTCAATATCAATTGAATCACTAGTCACAATAATATTCCAATAACAAACTTTCAAAAGATGAAAATATATCTCGATACTAAAGCAGTACCTTCAACAACGACATAATTCAGATGTTTGGTTTAAAATGAAACATTGTCGAAGAATACTGCTTTCGTTGTACTAAGTCGATGACAACAATCATCAGTTTTTAATTGTTGACGCGATAAAATGTTCACAGTCTTGCTGTTCGTTGTTAACTATCAAATATCCACGCTGGAAAGCCTAATGGACGGCTCCTCAATTTTTGTTATGTGCCTGCGCCTCTGCTGTATATGGTGATAATGTGGATGGGGTGGGATGAACCCGATTTCGACCGGGTAGATGAATGGATATCTGAGACGGTGTCTGTAATGTAAAACAAGATTTTTAGTGAAATTGATGAATGCTCCCAGTAAACGACTTCTTGAACACAAAATTTTATGAAAGGGCAATAATTATGTAAACAAGAATTTGCAGGGCCTGAATTTGGTATACTATACATTATCATAGTTTCAAGAACTCCTGCACTTCTCCTTATCGAGATCTGTCTATCTGATGTTTCCTGTTTCAAGCGCATTCTATATTTAAATTACTTTCAAGGATTTATCTTTTGAAATTCACACAGAAGCTCACGTTCCCGGTATTTGCTGTATGGTTCCATCATTAGTTTATAGTACAAACAACCTTTATTAAGCATGAACATGTAGATTCATATTACAGCTGTCAACAAAACAAAATAACATCATTGCCGGTTTTTTTCTTTTGTCGTTGATTGGAATGAAAGGTCGTTATCTCAAATATCAATAGCACGAATGATTCCTTTATGTATTCAAATATCACAAGACCTAATTATAACATGCGACACCGATAAAATCATGTTAAGATTTCCAATCTTTTCCTGTAATAAGAAGTACCAAATCATTAGACATCAACTATTTTCATTATTCTATTTCCTTACAAGGTATACTCAACAAAGATAATCTGATTGTTTTGTTCATGACTCTGGTGTTTTTCGTGACAATCTCACATGAATATTCAGGACTAAGTATTCAAGGGTGAAACAAATACTTACCTTGCCCACCCACTCTACCGGCGCAATTGGTTTCTCCTCTGTCTGAGTTGACACAGTTTTGCAATTGGACTTCGCATTAATGACCTTCAGAACGTTCACTTTTTCCCGCCCTGTCACAGTACGCGTGATTGTTGGCAAACTTTCATTGTCAATATCACGAACTTCTGTGTTTTTATAAAGGGCGTAGAACTGCAAAAGAAATGACGGACAACCTCAAACTGATAGTTATGTCGACAACCCCAAACTGATAGTTACGTCGACAACGTCAAACTGATAGTTATGTCGACAACCTCAAACTGATAGTTATGTCGACAACCTCAAACTGATAGTTACGTCGACAACCTCAAACTGATAGTTATGTCGACAACCTCAAACTGATAGTTATGTCGTTCTGAAAGGGTTTACAGGAAATACTGGGAAAATAACAGATTGTTTGTTATAACTAAAAGTTATTATCATTTTATCCTGCCAAGGAATGCTTCGAAAAACATGAGGTCTATATGGATGATGATTGTTATATGTAATCAAAATTATTTGCAAGCAGTATATGTCTTGGATATACATCTTAAACCTAGTTTAGATTTCTTGTCTTTAATATGAAGAAAGGACACAAGACAAACATGGTATGAAGTCAAGACAGATATTAGAGATATTGTGTCATGGCAATCGGGGTATTGAGTCAATACAATGATGGTAATGAGTCGAGACAATCATGGTATTGAGTCAAGGCAATCGGGGTACAAGCAATCGTTTTATTGATTCAAGATAATGGTATTATTGAGTAAAGACTATGGTGGTAATGAGTCAAGACAATCGTTGTGATGAGTCAAGACAATCGTGGTAATGAGTCAAGACAATAATGTTGAGTCAGGACAATGACGTTAATGAGTCAAGACAATCGTGGTAATGAGTCACGACAATCGTGGTAATGAGTCAAGACAATAATGTTGGGTCGGGACAATGACGTTAGTGAGTCAAGGCAATCGTGGTCATGAGTCAATACAATCGTGGTAATGAGTCTATATAATCGAGGTTTTGCGTCAAAACAAACGGGGTATTGAGTCAAAACAATCGTGGTATTGTGTCAAGACAATGGGAGTATTGTGTCAAATCAATCGTGGTATTGAGTCAAGACAATCGTGGTATTGTGTCAAGACAATCGGAGTATTGAGTCAAGTCAATGGTGATTTGGTGTCAAGACAATCGTGGTAATGAGTCAATACAATGATGGTAATGAGTCGAGACAATCATGGTATTGAGTCAAGGCAATCGGGGTATTGAGTCAAGACAATCGTTTTATTGATTCAAGATAATGGTATTATTGAGTAAAGACAATCGTTGTGATGAGTCAAGACAATCGTGGTAATGAGTCAAAACAATCGTGGTAATGAGTCAAGACTGTAATGTTGAGTCAGGACAATGACGTTAATGAGAGAAGACAATCGTGGTAATGAGTCAATACAATCGCGGTAATGAGTCTATATAATCGATGTGTTGAGTCAAAACAATCGTGGTAATGAGTCAAGACAATCGTGGCGACGAGTCAAGACAATAATGTAGAGTCAGGACAATGACGTTAATGAGTCACGACAATCGTGGTAATGAGTCACGGCAATCGCGGCAATGAGTCAAGACAATAATTTTGAATCAGGACAATGACGTTTGTGAGTCAAGGCAACCGGGGTATTGAGTCAATATAATCCTGATAATGAGTCAAGACAATAATTTTGAGTCAGGACAATGACGTTTGTGAGTCAAGACAATCGTGGTAATGAGTCAAGACAATCGTGGTAATGAGTCAAGACAGTAATGTTGAGTCAGGACAATGACGTTAATGAGAGAAGACAATCGTGGTAATGAGTCAATACAATCGTGGTAATGAGTCTATATAATCGAGGTGTTGAGTCAAAACAATCGTGGTAATGAGTCAAACCAATCGTGGTAATGAGTCAAGACAATTATGTTGAGTCAGGACAATGACGTTAATGAGTCAAGACAATCGTGGTAATGAGTCAATACAATCGTGGTAATGAGTCTATATAATCGAGGTGTTGAGTCAAAACAATCATGGTAATGATTCAAGACAATCGTTAAAGAGGATTTTTTGGATAAAATATTAAAATGAAAACAACATACTACAAACTAACCTTTGGTGTAAATATGAGAGCCGATGTGATGGTAACAAACACCTGCACTTGTAGGAAATATATAAGGTAAACGTAATCCGGCCCGGAATTCGTGTTGCTGATAAAATGTCTACAATATTACAATATTGAAATATTCAAACATATATTTCATTATATTAACTTAGTTGTGTAACTTTGCGACATTAACATAAGACAGCCCATCTGCACAGGAAATCTCATCAAGACATTCTCACATTACAACGAAACAACAAATCCCACGTGACATTAACAGTTTCAAAAACTGAGAAATAAATCAAGTTTTATCTATTCTGTAGCATCCCATTAAACATAACTTTAATATAATATATATCCATTTAAACTCACCCAAACAAAACTTTAAGACCAATCTCACCAGAATTTTATCTCATATTACATGAAAAACAATTTGATATCTGACTTTCTAACTGAAATTTTCCGAAGTGTCCGCAAACAACTATAGTTACTGTTGTCGATAGTTTTTCGCTTTAATTTAAGGCCAAACTAGCACAATGTGCATCTTTGATTTGTGAAACTGGTCTTTGTTTTACGGGTTTTTCACTTATATAAGACACTAAATATTAAATTTTCATAATAACATTCTCCAATCATTGCTTACAACAGACATGATATCATGATTCACAATATCATTTTACTGAAGCTGTCTTCACGCAATCAAGCAATATAAACTTACCATTACCTATAGAATAGAAGTTCTTATAAAACAATCAGTAGAAGATAAGAACGTGATGTTTCGATTACTACACGGTCACTTTCATCAGACAATTGACCAGTGCGGGGCGTTCTAGCACTAACATACGTAGTGTACGCGATGGTAAGGAACAGACATTCTTTTCCGACTGTACTATACTCCTATGTGGAGTCATCGAAATGTCACAGTCCAATACTCTACTGGTTGTTATAAGAATCCTATTCTATTGGCATTACCAACCTAAAAAACATTGTTTAAAATCATTTTTTTAAATAAAAAAAGACCTTTTTCTCATTATTAGTTTGATTTACTACATACAGATGACTATCTAAGATCGCATCCCTTTGATAAGATAAATGTGTGAAATGTTTGTGGGACTCACATGACGATGACAAGGAACGTTCCGAGGATTATAGCGTTGTAAGTAGACCACGTGATATGTTTGCTCTCGTTGAAGTGAGCAGGTGCCTTTCTTACGGTAAAACACAAGTACACACCTGCTAGAAGCATGATGGCCTCAGCTGAAATAAAACAAATGAAAGATGAATTTGTCATTGTACTTTCACTAGAAAAATATTTCTTACTCAAAAGTAGTCCAAAGAGATTAACAAAAGGTCCGATGTGGTACCAAAATCAAGATGACAGAAGCCCTAATCGGGTGAACAGAATAAAAAAGGGGAGACTAATCCCTCTTTTTTTCAAATAATAAGAAAATATAATAGGCTATGGAACTAAATTGAATAAATAGTTAGAGAATGTTTGTACCATCCCTTTCATCGACACCATGGTCGTTGTCACTCTTCCAAGGTTTGGATAGGAACGCTTCTTTCTATGCAATGTTACCTATGCTGTTTTGAAATAACTACTATGAGAGTGCTAGAAGAACGGGTTTGTTAGATTTACGTTACTAATTGATTATATCACTATTGTAAGATAGTGATCAATCAAACGTGAGTATTCTAAAGTTACTGTACACCAAATACAAATGTAGCTTTCATATTTTCGCAATTTTCGCGATCGAACCTTTTCAGTGGAAGTCAGTCTTCGGGAATTAAGACAGGGATGACATTTACATTGTATAGCGTAGAATCGTTAAGTAAGTTAGTAACAGCGAAATAAAGTTTACGGTACTTGTCAGATTGAAAGGGAACGATCAAGAAAAAGGGATGTTTGAACTTAATCTATAGAAATGCTATTCTGTTAATCATTTTTTACAAGCTGGTAAGTATATGCAAAACATATTTTCTTTCTTCAAAATAAGAAAAATGTGTGGCGTTTTGATCACTACACACTGATCTTCATCTTCCCAATGGCGGGCGTCGTCAATGAAACAGAAGACGCTTACTCTTCTGGAACACCTGGTCTTACTCTACTTGTACTTTTACATAATCTACACAAGTCTCCGTGTAGACAATTCATCTTTTAATTGAATTTTACTTTGGATCATGATTATGTTCACTTTTTGGTGTTTTACACACAGAAGTTGTACATCTAGGGACAATAAAAAACATATAAACCGTGAAACTAGAAAGTGCCTTCTTACAATGAATATGACTTAATTAGTGATTAGTGCAACTAACCTCCCTGCATCCCGTAAGACCACCATCCTTCAACACACACCTGGAATTTGAGTTTGTTTATAGTCTTTCTTGTGGTTACTTTAGGCCAGTCGGACGCTGTCCAAGCAGCTAAGTAGGCCACTGCGACCGCTAACAGAGGGATCATTCTCTGCAGTAGAACTTTATCTGGTAGATATACACGCTTTAGTCGACCTACACGGAATATTATTGATATCCTGAAAAAAAAGTAATTTATGTATTTGGTCTCATGATCTCACTGCTGATGATGTATAACTTTTTTATTTTAGACCATCATTTTCTCAACGAAATTGAATTGTATAAACAGACTGTGCGGATGCATTGCCGGAAACATCTTTCCTCTAATGCAGTATTCTGTTAATCCATACATTTTGTCTATGCTTTCACTTCTGATGATGTTTACCTTTAAATTGTCATCATTTTACTTCATGTCCAAATTTAATTAAATAAACAGGCTCCGCTGATACAGAGATAGAACATTACAGAAACAGATATGCCTTCCCTTTACCCATTCTTCCAATATAGACGGCCCAAATCCTTATTCAATAAAACTATATACTTGCATACACTCAAACTCCTATCTATTTTTATATGGTATCTAACAGGGCCATGTTGACTGAAACTAAAACCTTTATTTCTAGGCTGTCATCATGGAAACTTTGCATATTGAAGGTATTGTTTTATATAACTTACAGGTAAACCTCGATCGTTTCAAGTAGGTGCTTTTGTGTTTGTTGGGACGTTTTCGCCAACTCTTGTGTTTGTGGGGACGTTTTTGCCAACTCTTGTGTTTTGGGGACGTTTTCGCCAACTCTTGTGTTTGTGGGGACGTTTTTGCCAACTCTTGTGTTTTGGGGACGTTTTCGCCAACTCCTGTGTTTGTGGGGACGTTTTTGCCAAATCTTATGTTTGTGGGGACGTTTTTGCCAACTCTTGTGTTTGTGGGGACGTTTTCACCAACTCTTGTGTTTGTGGGGACGTTTTCACCAACTCTTGTGTTTGTGGGGACGTTTTGCCAAACTCTATGTTTGTGTTTTTGCCAACTCTTGTGTTTGTGGGGACGTTTTTGCCAACTCTTGTGTTTGTGGAGACGTTTTTGCCAACTCTTGTGTTTGTGGGGACGTTTTCACCAACTCTTGTGTTTGTGGGGACGTTTTTGCCAACTCTTGTGTTTGTTGGGACGTTTTTGCCAAATCTTTTGTTTGTGGGGACGTTTTCACCAACTCTTGTGTTTGTGGGGACGTTTTCGCCAAATGTTATGTTTATGGGAACGTTTTCGCCAACTCTTGTGTTTGTGGGGACGTTTTCACCAACTCTTGTGTTTGTAGGGACGTTTTTGTCAACTCTTGTGTTTGTGGGGACGTTTTTGCCAACTCTTATCTTTGTTGGGACGTTTTTGCCAAATCTTATGTTTGTGGGGACGTTTTCGCCAAATCTTATGTTTGTGGGGACGTTTTCGCCAACTCTTGTGTTTGTTGGGACGTTTTTGCCAAATCTTATGTTTGTGGAGACGTTTTTGCCAACTCTTGTGTTTGTGGGGACGTTTTCACCAACTCTTGTGTTTGTGGGGACGTTTTTGCCAACTCTTGTGTTTGTGGGGACGTTTTTGCCAACTCTTGTGTTTGTGGGGACAACTCTTGTGTTTGTGGGGACGTTTTTGCCAAATCTTGTGTTTGTGGGGACGTTTTCGCCAACTCTTGTGTTTGTGGGGACATTTTCGCCAAATCTTATGTTTGTGGGGACGTTTTCGCCAACTCTTGTATTTGTTGGGACGTTTTTGCCAAATCTTATGTTTGTGGGGACGTTTTTGCCAACTCTGGTGTTTGTGGGGACGTTTTCACCAACTCTTGTGTTTGTGGGGACGTTTTCACCAACTCTTGTGTTTGCGTGAGCGTTTTTGCCAACTCTTGTGTTTGTGGGGATGTTTTCACCAACTCTTGTGTTTGTGGGGACGTTTTCGCCAACTCTTGTGTTTGTGGGGACGTTTTTGCCAACTCTTGTGTTTGTGGGGACGTTTTTGCCAACTCTTGTGTTTGTGGGGACGTTTTCACCATTTCTTGTGTTTGTAGGGATGTTTTTGCCAACTCTTGTGTTTGTTGGGACGTTTTCGCCAAATCTTATGTTTGTGGGGACGTTTTTGCCAACTCTGGTGTTTGTGGGGACGTTTTCACCAACTCTTGTGTTTGTGGGACGTTTTCACCAACTCTTGTGTTTGTGGGGGCGTTTTTGCCAACTCTTGTGTTTGTGGGGACGTTTTTGCCAACTCTTGTGTTTGTGGGGACGTTTTCACCAACTCTTGTGTTTGTAGGGATGTTTTTGCCAACTCTTGTGTTTGTTGGGACGTTTTTGCCAAATCTTGTGTTTGTGGGGACGTTTTTGCCAACTCTGGTGTTTGTGGGGACGTTTTTGCCAAATCTTGTGTTTATGGGGACGTTTTCGCCAACTCTTGTGTTTGTGGGGACGTTTTCGCCAAATCTTATGTTTGTGGGGACGTTTTCACCAACTCTTGTGTTTGTGGGGACGTTTTCACCAACTCTTGTGTTTGTGGGGACGTTTTCGCCAACTCTTGTGTTTGTGGGGACGTTTTCACCAACTCTTGTGTTTGTGGGGACGTTTTTGCCAACTCTTGTGTTTGTGGGGACGTTTTCGCCAACTCTTGTGTTTGTTGGGACGTTTTTGCCAAATCTTATGTTTGTGGAGACGTTTTTGCCAACTCTTGTGTTTGTGGGGACGTTTTCACCAACTCTTGTGTTTGTGTTTGTGTGGGAGCGTTTTTGCCAACTCTTGTGTTTGTGGGGATGTTTTTGCCAACTCTTGTGTTTGTGGGGACGTTTTCGCCAACTCTTATCTTTGTTGGGACGTTTTTGCCAAATCTTATGCTTGTTGGGACGTTTTCGCCAAATCTTATGTTTGTGGGGACGTTTTCGCCAACTCTTGTATTTGTTGGGACGTTTTTGACAAATCTTATGTTTGTGGGGACGTTTTTGCCAACTCTGGTGTTTGTGGGGACGTTTTCACCAACTCTTGTGTTTGTGGGGACGTTTTCACCAACTCTTGTGTTTGTGGGACGTTTTCACCAACTCTTGTGTTTGTGGGGGCGTTTTTGCCAACTCTTGTGTTTGTGGGGACGTTTTCACCAACTCTTGTGTTTGTGGGGACGTTTTTGCCAACTCTTGTGTTTGTGGGGACGTTTTCGCCAACTCTTGTGTTTGTTGGGACGTTTTTGCCAAATCTTATGCTTGTTGGGACGTTTTCGCCAAATCTTATGTTTGTGGGGACGTTTTCGCCAACTCTTGTGTTTGTGGGGACATTTTCGCCAAATCTTATGTTTGTGGGGACGTTTTTGCCAACTCTTGTATTTGTTGGGACGTTTTTGACAAATCTTATGTTTGTGGGGACATTTTCGCCAAATCTTATGTTTGTGGGGACGTTTTTGCCAACTCTGGTGTTTGTGGGGACGTTTTCACCAACTCTTGTGTTTGTGGGGACGTTTTCACCAACTCTTGTGTTTGCGTGAGCGTTTTTGCCAACTCTTGTGTTTGTGGGGATGTTTTTGCCAACTCTTGTGTTTGTGGGGACGTTTTCGCCAACTCTTGTGTTTGTGGGGACGTTTTTGCCAACTCTTGTGTTTGTGGGGACGTTTTTGCCAACTCTTGTGTTTGTGGGGACGTTTTCACCATTTCTTGTGTTTGTAGGGATGTTTTTGCCAACTCTTGTGTTTGTTGGGACGTTTTCGCCAAATCTTATGTTTGTGGGGACGTTTTTGCCAACTCTGGTGTTTGTGGGGACGTTTTCACCAACTCTTGTGTTTGTGGGAGCGTTTTTGCCAACTCTTGTGTTTGTGGGGACGTTTTTGCCAACTCTTGTGTTTGTGGGGACGTTTTTGCCAACTCTTGTGTTTGTGGGGACGTTTTCACCAACTCTTGTGTTTGTAGGGATGTTTTTGCCAACTCTTGTGTTTGTTGGGACGTTTTTGCCAAATCTTATGTTTGTGGGGACGTTTTTGCCAACTCTGGTGTTTGTGGGGACGTTTTTGCCAAATCTTGTGTTTATGGGGACGTTTTCGCCAACTCTTGTGTTTGTGGGGACGTTTTTGCCAAATCTTATGTTTGTGGGGACGTTTTCACCAACTCTTGTGTTTGTGGGGACATTTTCACCAACTCTTTTGTTTGTGGGGGCGTTTTCGCCAACTCTTGTGTTTGTGGGGACGTTTTTGTCAACTCTTGTGTTTGTCGGGATGTTTTTGCCAACTCTTGTGTTTGTGGGGACGTTTTCGCCAACTCTTGTGTTTGTTGGGACGTTTTTGCCAACTCTTGTGTTTGTGGGGACGTTTTCACCAACTCTTGTGTTTGTGGGGACGTTTTTGCCAACTCTTGTGTTTGTTGGGACGTTTTTGCCAAATCTTATGTTTGTGGGGACGTTTTTGCCAACTCTTGTGTTTATGGGAACGTTTTCGCCAACTCTTGTGTTTGTGGGAGCGTTTTTGCCAACTCTTGTGTTTGTGGGGATGTTTTTGCCAACTCTTGTGTTTGTGGGGACGTTTTCGCCAACTCTTATCTTTGTTGGGACGTTTTTGCCAAATCTTATGTTTGTGGGGACGTTTTTGCCAACTCTGGTGTTTGTGGGGACGTTTTCACCAACTCTTGTGTTTATGGGAACGTTTTCGCCAACTCTTGTGTTTGTGGGAGCGTTTTTGCCAACTCTTATGTTTGTGGGGACGTTTTCACCAACTCTTGTGTTTGTAGGGATGTTTTTGCCAACTCTTGTGTTTGTTGGGACGTTTTTGCCAAATCTTATGTTTGTGGGGACGTTTTTGCCAACTCTGGTGTTTGTGGGGACGTTTTTGCCAACTCTTGTGTTTGTTGGGACGTTTTTGCCAAATCTTATGTTTGTGGGGACGTTTTCGCCAAATCTTATGTTTGTGGGGACGTTTTTGCCAACTCTGGTGTTTGTGGGGACGTTTTTGCCAACTCTTGTGTTTGTTGGGACGTTTTTGCCAAATCTTATGTTTGTGGGGACGTTTTCGCCAAATCTTATGTTTGTGGGGACGTTTTTGCCAACTCTTGTGTTTGTGGGGACGCTTTATGTGGTTGTTATAAATTCATAAGTTATAGATATTAAGGCTTTATGACAACGTGAAGGAATTATTGTATATAAATATGTAACACGTTGCCTCACTCTTTCGTTTTTTGTTTTTTTTTTACAAAATTTAAATTTGTTTTTGAATGTGATTTTATCTTGTTTTTGTTATTTTGTTTTTCCTTTTATTGAAATTTGAAGTCCACCAAACATCTTCTTTTTTAATAGATGGTGTTACATGTAGCACATTAGAATTGTCCTCGGTATCGGACAGGAACAACAAGTCAAAATGCTCAATAATTCTTTACCTCCAGGTTTTTAACAGCAGCGCTCCATACATGAGGACGAACCCGGTATGAAACAACCACTGTTCTAGGATACATAGCGCATCGTTCGCGTCCGGGAATGTAATGAACATCTGTTTGAAAAAAATGAAATATCAAGAATTTCTAGTAAAACTATTATCTGTCTTCGCTGGAATAGATATTATAGACGTATGAGAGTCTTGCTACCATACAGGGGCTTTCTATTATACAAAATGTTTAGTCCGAGGGCCTTCATATCATACAAAATGTTTATTTTCCATAGTTGAACGTGATAGAAAACATATCTAAATGTGTTTCCTTTTTTCTTTTAAATCCAAAAGAGGTGGTCCTAAATCTTAATATGTGTCTTTAAAAAAATAAGAAGAAAATCATTGGCATTCTTTTTCACTCTTCGATTACATGTCCTTCAGTAGAATTAGTATGGGATGGGAACAGGGTTTCACATAGATAATTCACATGAGATCTTAAATACGATACTCCTGGTTGATATTTCTCGAAAGATTTTATCAAAATGTTTTTTATTCTCGTTTAACTCCAATACGTACATAGAAATTACACTATAGAGTAAATGAATAAGTTTTATAGAGTTGTTCTGTCAAATGTAAACAATCCAATCCTGTTAATAATGACTTTGTGTAAGAATTCTTCACAAGCTTTTAGAAATTATCAACAAAATATTGATGAAAGGGGGTTAATTAGATATCTGTACATGGATAATGAACAGCGTCACTCACCTTCGTGCACATTAACATACTTCCGGTACACATGATGAGCAGGAATATTGGACTTCCGGTTTTTATAGCCTGTCAATGAACAAAGAGCATGCATGACAATGATACAAATAGACAGACAATCCGAAGCTTTACGTCACAAGTCTCGGTCGATAATAGTCAACGTTCATTCTACATCCGTCATGTCTGACTGAAAATATCTGCCATCATCTGGAGGACATTGGTGTAATGATACTATGAAAGCCAATATTATTCCCTACTGTTTGTCGTTATCTTGCTTGTACGTTCAAATGAACATGATTAATGCTTATGATAATGTTCTTTGTAAATGATTAAATATCTAAATAACATTTAACAGATATTTTATAATCCTAAGCGATTTCAAGATTGTGAAATCCACGTCCATGTTTTTTTCTATTAATCTGATTTCCGAATATTTATTGTAAATCTATGAGCAATCTTACTTTCAACACAGTACGATGATGGAACATTAAGCAAAACAGAAATAAAAAACAAAAAATACATGGCAGCAATATTTAAAGGTTTAATGGAGAAACTTTAAGGAACTTTTTTCTAAGCATGAAAAAACGTATGCTGCTGTGATTTTTTTCATTCTTTCTTTCCATCTTTCCTTCCTTTCCTTCTGTCTTTCTGTTTTCCATCCCTTAATTCATTTTTCAAATAATCAAACTATCGTTATTCTTGGTAAGTCTTCAATATTTTCATTCGTGTCGAGGATTTGTGTAAAGAAACCAAAACAAATGACATTAATCCAATACTGTTAGATCTATACTCTAGAGAGTACTCTAGCAACATTGAATCACCATATCAACTAAACACAAGCAAACATTTTACAAAGTATGGTAATCAGTGCCCTCTTGTACCTTGCTATTACAGCTAAGACCTGGTACAGCGTTGGAATTAACTTTTGTATTGACGTATGCCCGTCTCAGTGGCCAGTCGGTTGTTAGGTCAATGAAATACTTAATTTAGGTTAAAAATCAAACATGTCAGTTTTAATATTACAATCCCTTGAAATGTTACCATCTCAAACCGGAAGTTGTATGTAATGCAGGCAACGACGACGATGAGAACCACTGTGATAATGGTCAAGATGAGAACCGGAAGTCTGAGAGCAAGTTGGCTCTGGTAAAGACAAGGCGAGGCATCTACGCATGTGTCACATCCTGCTGCGCATGCTTTACAGCGCATTGTCTCCATGACAACAGTATTGTTTTCAGCGTACAGTCGTTCTATTTCGATGCCACTGAAGTACTTTATGTCGGCCTGCACATCGGGGAAATAGTAACCAGCTTTGCAAACACATTTATATGCTCCTCGTTTGAACCCCAGTCCAGCCTCAAATACACACTGCAGGAAGTAGAAAAAATCATAGGATATGTATTCCATATTGATTGATTTTCCATATATGTTGATGCCATAATATACATACATGCATATATGATAATGGTTTTCCTCTCTCTCTCTCTCTCTCTCTCTCTCTCTCTCTCTCTCTCTCTCTCTCTCTCTCTCTCTCTTCCCCCTCTCTCTCTCTCTCTCTCTCTCTCTCTCTCTCTCTCTCTCTCTCTCTCTCTCTTCTGGCTCTAACATATATATATTACGACAGGTAATTCAACTCTGGATCCCCCGAGTCCTTAATTTATCAATATTTTGAATATTGATTAAGGAACACAATTTTAACTTGTGCTATATCTGGGCCTTGAACTCACGACCTACATCACCTTATTACCTACACAAGACATTTTATGACTGTTTAACTACTTCAGCACCACGACAGGATATATAGAAAATACACAGTCAGTGTCTTAAAACATAAGCTGTACTTTGGCAGGGATGAAGAAAGACAAAAGTGGTGAGCTTCTGACCTTGTCTTTCTGTCCTAAGCCAAAATGTAGCTTATATTTTTAATACACTGGCTATGTATGCTATCTATCTTGCAACACTGATTGAAAATCATACAATGAAAACTTTAACGGTTTTGTTGTTCACTCTTTGTTTACCTGATGTTGACGTTTACGCTGGATTTTGCCAGATGAAGTACGCCATAATTACTGCTCCGCGAAAAAATATCAAACTTCAACGGATATGATAGATATTTTATGAATTTTCGTGAATAAACTTTTTCATTCCAACATGAAAAAATGCTTATGTCAACAGTTATTTATATTGTTAAACGAAATTTTAAGTAAATTTATAAAGTAATTCTATCGAAATTAATGCACGTGACGTAATACAACGGTTTTCCATCACTGCCGAATACAGTCAAATGCATGCGCCAGGCGTATTACAATAATGGCAGCGCCAGCTGCAGGATAATTACACCTATTTGTTCAAATAACATACCTGGGTAGATGGCATACAGCTATGTGTACCCCGAAACACGTCCAATGCTCCCGCCTCGCTCTCATCTGGGTCACATTGATTTATATCGATGTTTGTTAATTCTATATCAATGGTGGCTACACCCCTGAAATATGACATATATAACTCACTCATGTTATCTTTTTAAATTTGTAACAGAAACTTTTGTTTGAATAAAGTTTTCGGCAGTCGTCACTTGTTTCCTTTAATATTTATTTGAGTACTTTTACTTTTAAATGAAACCAACCGTGCAACCACGAAGTCGTAGTGAAGAATAGCATAACTAAGGATGTCACAGACCATGTGTTTGATGATTTCCTCGAAAACAAGCCAACCTCAAAAATGAGCCGTTTTTGAAAATAAGCATGTAGTCTCATAAAACTGTATTTGATGACTATTAAATTAAAAAAAAATAGCGTCTTGTTTTGTAGTTTTTAGGATATCTTTATTGGGGTAAAGGATATTAATCTGTAAAGCTGTGTACTGTTAGATAATTTATTTTGGCGGGACTCAATTTCCTAAAACATTTACTAAAACATGCAATATCATGTTTTTAACCATTCTCCAATGAGAGACAAAGAAATTCCATCAGTTATGTATTGAAATAAAATACATGTAATTTAAAGGTTGAAACATACATAAATATTCTTTTTCATTAAAAGTAACGAGAAGTGTTGGGTTTTTCTGTTGTGTGATTATTTCAATAACTAAAATATAGGTTTATCAATAAAATATTCTATCATAAGAATATGAAAGGTATTGATAATCACTTTCACGACTAACTACATCAAACACTTTTGTATTTGATTCTGACGTGGAAATCTTGTGACATTTTACCTTAGCATTTGTATCATTAATATAATTGTTATATAATTTATATAGAAATTGCATATCGCAAGGTGAAGTTTACAAAAGTTTTAATAATTAAGGAGAGCCTTACTTGAAGTCCAATGACTCAGTTGTGACGTTATAGTAGAACAGTGGTGACGAGTATGTTACCATCCAGATATCACCTCCTCCACAGTCAAAGTACGGCTTGGTCCAGTGTCCGTCCTCAAGCTTTGCCAGCACCTTGATTAGGTCACGTGATGGTAACAGGGTATTCCCAGACCTTTGAAATGAAACGTCATTTACATACATATCTATTTATAGTTCATTAATCAGAATAGGATAGGATCATCCTATCGTCACTCATATCTAATGTAATAAAAATGGGTTTGAATACAGGACCCAATGGAATAGAAATAAACATACACACGAAGAACTTCAGTTTCCGAAACTGGAAGCCGATATACCCAGGCGCTGAAACGGAAATCGATTTTAAGACGTAATATACAGTATGCCGTAATTAGAATTTTTGTTTATCATTTTGACACAATTATCAATTAAACTTTTAATTTAGTCAAAACAGGGCGGTAAACAGACTTGTGATAATGGTTCTAATGAGATCAAGATTGAACGTCAAGTGGAACTGTAACAGGAAATTAGGTCGCGATTTGTAATCACACAAGTAACATAAAACGGACTGATATTTTTGACTGTAAAATTAAATTTCTGTTATAGAATAACTATTTTGTTCATAAAAGAGACATTATGAAATTTTACTACCTTCAATCTGAGTTTTTGATAAGAGTTATGATAACAAGCGGCTAAACTGATGCTTCATGTAAAAAGTATAAGAACGGCGTCTGAACATTACGATCCAATCATCATTAATTGTTTCTATTGTAATATCATTACAGTGTAGATCACCGATATATGTATATTGTTACTGTTTCGTTTCTATGACAATGAATTTTATATGGTTATATTTACACTAAAATGGGATCGGATTTTATTTATTTGATGGACATATTATTGTCTCGTTGCTTTCATTGCCGAAGTCTGATGTCAATTCATATCGAAAGGCTGACACATCGTCAATTAGTATACACAGGCTGACACATCGTCAATTCATATAGAAAGGCTGACACATCGTCAATTCATATAGAAAGGCTGACACATCGTCAATTCATATAGAAAGGCTGACACATCGTCAATTCATATAGAAAGGCTGACACATCGTCAATTCATATAGAAAGGCTGACACATCGTCAATTAGTATAGACAGGCTGACACATCGTCAATTCATATAGAAAGGCTGATATATCGTCAGTTAGTATAGAAAGGCTGACACATCGTCAATTCATATAGAAAGGCTGACACATCGTCAATTCATATAGAAAGGCTGACACATCGTCAATTCATATAGAAAGGCTGACACATCGTCAATTCATATAGAAAGGCTGACACATCGTCAATTCATATAGAAAGGCTGATATATCGTCAATTAGTATAGAAAGGCTGACACATCGTCAATTCATATAGAAAGGCTGACACATCGTCAATTAATATAGAAAGGCTGACACATCGTCAATTCATATAGAAAGGCTGACACATCGTCAATTATATAGAAAGGCTGACACATCGTCAACACATCGTATAGTATAAAGGCTGACATCGTCAATCGTCAATTATATAGAAAGGCTGACACATCGTCAATTATATATAGAAAGGCTGACACATCGTCAATTCATATAGAAAGGCTGACACATCGTCAATTCATATAGAAAGGCTGACACATCGTCAATTAGAAAGGCTGACACATCGTCAATTCATATAGAAAGGCTGACACATCGTCAATTAATATAGAAAGGCTGACACATCGTCAATTCATATAGAAAGGCTGACACATCGTCAATTAGTATAGAAAGGCTGACACATCGTCAATTCATATAGAAAGGCTGACACATCGTCAATTAGTATAGAAAGGCTGACACATCGTCAATTCATATAGAAAGGCTGACACATCGTCAATTCATATAGAAAGGCTGACACATCGTCAATTCATATAGAAAGGCTGACACATCGTCAATTCATATAGAAAGGCTGACACATCGTCAATTCATATAGAAAGGCTGACACATCGTCAATTCATATAGAAAGGCTGACACATCGTCAATTCATATAGAAAGGCTGACACATCGTCAATTCATATAGAAAGGCTGACACATCGTCAATTAGTATAGACAGGCTGACACATCGTCAATTCATATAGAAAGGCTGACACATCGTCAATTCATATAGAAAGGCTGACACATCGTCAATTAGTATAGACAGGCTGACACATCGTCAATTAGTATAGAAAGGCTGACACATCGTCAATTATCGTCAATTCAGTATAGAAAGGCTGACACATCGTCAATTCATATAGAAAGGCTGACACATCGTCAATTAGTATAGAAAGGCTGACACATCGTCAATTAGTATAGAAAGGCTGACACATCGTCAATTCATATAGAAAGGCTGACACATCGTCAATTCATATAGAAAGGCTGACACATCGTCAATTCATATAGAAAGGCTGACACATCGTCATCGTCAATTCATATAGAAAGGCTCAATTCATATAGAAAGGCTGACACATCGTCAATTCATATAGAAAGGCTGACACATCGTCAATTCATATAGAAAGGCTGACACATCGTCAATTCATATAGAAAGGCTGACACATCGTCAATTAGTATAGAAAGGCTGACACATCGTCAATTCATATAGAAAGGCTGACACATCGTCAATTCATATAGAAAGGCTGACACATCGTCAATTCATATAGAAAGGCTGATATATCGTCAGTTATTATAGACAGGCTGACACATCGTCAATTCATATAGAAAGGCTGACACATCGTCAATTAGTATAGAAAGGCTGATATATCGTCAGTTAGTATAGAAAGGCTGATATATCGTCAGTTATTACAGACTTATGTCATGTCATGCTGACAAGCGTTATCATAGTCTTAACATATATTAAACATAGTTTTTTTTTTTTACTTCAATATGAGATTTCTGAAAGTCGGATGGAAATTTGATCAACGTACCTTGTTGACGAGATTCTCTCGAGAATCATCAGTTTTGAATTGATGTCACCTTAATGTGTTTTATTATTATTATTATTATTATTATTATTGTTTCTTTTTTGTTTTGTTTTGTTTTGTTTTTTTTGGGGGGGGGGGAGGGTATTAGTTTTTTGCTTGTTGGTTTGTTTCTGTTTTTGCTTTTTTATTTTGTTTGTTTTCTTTTCTTTTTTCTTTGATTTTCAAAATTGGACTTGTGAGGATTATGAGTAAGGATTGGACCTACTCTTCTTCAATGTATAAAGGTGGGATCGAATTCTGTATACATCGCGGTGATCTTATATCAGAACTTTTCATACTGAAAGTAATAAGTTAAAACACTGTACCAAATACAGATTAAATTGGTGATTATCATGGATGCGCAAATTTATCTTCGCGCTAACATTCCAAAATATTTGAAGTAATCATATCATGCTCCCATGGCGACAGCAAAACGAGAGTATGCATGCGTGACACTGGTTAGAAAGATGTCGGTATTTTTTTATTGTTTATACGACAACCACCAGAGGTCACTGATAATCCGTTGGAATATTTCCACTAATCAGAAAGCTAGGATTGGTGGTACCGGCTAATCCCAAATGCTGTGAAAATTGACAGAAACCGTTACTGCGTTACGTCTAGCCTAAAAGTGTTCAGGTGACCACTTAATCATTTGATCCAGTCTTCAATTGGTCTAGCCTAAAAGTGTTCGGATGACCACCTAATCATTTGATCCAGTCTTCAATTGGTCTAGCCTAAAAGTGTTCGGATGACCACTTAATCATTTGATCCAGTCTTCAATTGGTCTAGCCTAAAAGTGTTCGGATGACCACCTAATCATTTGATCCAGTCTTCAATTGGTCTAGCCTAAAAGTGTTCAGGTGACCACTTAATCATTTGATCCAGTCTTCAATTGGTCTAGCCTAAAAGTGTTCGGATGACCACCTAATCATTTGATCCAGTCTTCAATTGGTCTAGCCTAAAAGTGTTCGGATGACCACCTAATCATTTGATCCAGTCTTCAATTGGTCTAGCCTAAAAGTGTTCGGATGACCACCTAATCATTTGATCCAGTCTTCAATTGGTCTAGCCTAAAAGTGTTCGGATGACCACCTAATCATTTGATCCATTCTTCAATTGGTCTAGCCTAAAAGTGTTCGGATGACCACCTAATCATTTGATCCAGTCTTCAATTGGTCTAGCCTAAAAGTGTTCGGATGACCACCTAATCATTTGATCCAGTCTTCAATTGACCTGGGCTACTGCTAGGATGTGAACACTGATATAAACAAACATATTATCAACAGAATTCTGTTTTGTTATCGATAATAGTGATTACAGCAGAGTCTGGGTGCGATCATAATTATGTCCGGGCCTATATTGTCTAATGAACACACCAATCACACACTGTGGAGAGACTATCATAATATACAACGTATCAGCGAGACCTTGGGCATGATGTCATAATGTTGTACATTATTACTGTAGTGATTAACATTCTGTTTAGCAATATCAGCTTTAGCCAAATATCAAATTACCACTTTCATAAGGAAAGGTCATCGTCCTTATCTAACGAGCCATGTGATAGAAGCTCGTCGATGTAGATCTACAATATCTATTATATAAAATAGCTATTGCCTTGGTCGGCAGGGATTATCGAGATACCAAAATTAACGCGTCCCTTTTCGATTTTAGTTTAGAACTTTGTTCATGTTTTATGTTCTATGAATGTGATGTAATTTATGTAATAATTGTGTCTTAAGGCAGGTTGCCTCAAAACTTTGACAATTCGCTATTCCGTGCTGTCGTTATTACCCAAATGATCATATATCTGTTCTAGTAATAATCCAATGAACATTTGTTTGTACCACTATTAGACCATACTGTCGATATTACTTACTAGATTCTATATATAGAAGATCCAGTACCAATATTGGACCATACTGTCGATATTACTTACTAGATTATATATATAGAAGGTCCTGTATATATATAGAAGATCCAGTACCAATATTGGACATATATATGTCGATATTATATATATTCCTGTATATATACTAGATTCTATATATAGAAGATCGATATTACTTACTACATTATATATATAGTACCAATATTGACTTACTACATTCTATATACGATACTGTCGATTATATATATTACTTACTTACTAGATTCTATACTAGATTATATATATAGAAGGTCCTGTATATATATAGATCCAATACCAATATTGGACCATACAGTCGATATTACTTACTAGATTCTATATATAGAAGATCCAGTACCAATATTGAACCATACTGTCGATATTACTTACTAGATTATATATATAGAAGATCCAGTACCAATATTGGACCATACTGTCGATATTACTTACTAGATTATATATATAGAAGGTCCTGTATATATATAGAAGATCCAGTACCAATATTGGATCATACAGTCGAAATTACTTACTACATTCTATATATAGAAGATCCAGTACCAATATTGAACCATACTGTCGATATTACTTACTAGATTATATATATAGAAGATCCAGTACCAATATTGAACCATACTGTCGATATTACTTACTAGATTATATATATATTATCAATATAGATACATGAAGCGAATGCTTCATCATCCAATACAAGCCTTGGGCATTTCTGTGGTGTTATAAGCTTAATATATATATTAAAACAGATAAATGTAACAAAAAAAATATAAAGAATAAAAAAGATAAACTTATTATCTAAAACAGAATTATATATGTAGGAACTGTTAATAGATTTCAACATCAAAAGACCATGTCAACAGGGCCGTATACAAGTTAGCCGGAAACTATGATTAATTAAGAACAAAGGTATGATTAACATGTAGATTCTTGAAAAGAAAAAGGAGATTCAGACCAGTAAGGGGAGCATCTTCTGCTTCATCGACGACACCCGCCATATCAATTTTGGTCAATCACAGTATGTAATGTCACGTACTAAAATGGGAACAAGTACCAACGAGCACCAAACACGTCCAGCTTCTTGTCTTCCTGTCGCACAAAGAAATACAATATGCCTCAATCATATCGTTATAGCGACCGTAAACTTTTCCCTTTATCTCCATCAACATGCATCGAAAACATGTATAGAACGCTGTCAATATCTTGCACGAATCGTGATATTTGGAGAAACCCTAGTATATCATCTGCAACATGTAACCACCATGGGGATGCAGGATAGTTGCTATTCAGAAATGGAAAACCACAGAGTAAATTCGATTTTTTTTACTGCTTGTTTCCGTGATTGATTATAGATCGATGACCGCGTGAAACTGATAATCATGTCTACTAAAAAAGGAAACCGAGAAAAGGGAATTAATGTTTCATCTGAAAGTCACTGAGTGCATTCAAAACGAAATCAATAAAATGTCAAGCCCTATTTGTTTAATTAGAACAATTGTTCGCATTTTCGAATGCTTTGATAAAAAAGCTAGATCTAAAATACTGGATCGGAAAAGAAAATGGACGACATGCTTCAAATAAATCTGTGGTCTTGATCTAATTACTTTGCCACATTATGTAACCGTTAAATCACGATAGATTCAGCAATGAAAATCACTGTAGCCAGCATTCTATTGGACCAAAGTCATACACTAGATCAGATAACGGTGACGGCATGAAACAGTCGGTGACTTGCATCTTTAGGTTACCATATACCGTATAACTAAAAGTTTTCATGGGCTAAATTTTCGCGATTTCTTTTCAAACAATTGAATCATAATTTAACAAATATGTATTGCGATTTTCATATCGGACATCAATACACACGTGTTTCATTATTTCACGGGTGATATTTTCGCGATCACGTAAATGTACCGCAAAAAAGCGACAATATCATCCTCTCGAAAATAACTTACTTTATGGTAACTTTTGATGTAATGGTGAAGCATTCTTTTGGGGGAGTTTATCTTTATTATGATTTTTTTTATTCATTCATGGTTTTTATTATTTTCTTTTTCATTTTTATTATATTTTTACATCTATAACTTGAATACTTTTATTCTTGCAAGGGAGCGCACATTTGATGAAAACAATCGCTGCTTTCATTTATCCTATGTCCTGGTCATTATGAGGTTTTAACATCACTTAACGGTGACACACGTGCTGTGACAAGGTAAAGTAAGGTAAAGTATGATACATGTGCGATAAAAAAAGGTAAGACAAGTGCTGTTATAGGTTATCACGTGCGTTGCACCAAGGTAAGATGTTCTGACAAGGTAATAAACGTGCATGAACAAAATGATTTACGTGCTTTATCGATTAACTTCTACCATTACAAAACAAGAAAGCGATCAAAGATTACAACACAGATGTTAAACGTACACCAATGATGAGGACAAGTCATCAGTGAAGGAACATATCAATTTCTTTAACCTATCACGTGATCTGTCCTACTACCCACTTGATTGTTATGTGTAATCGTTACAGGGCGTAAGATATTGGTCAGCTTCCTGAAAATGTCCATAACTCCTATCAACGTCACCAGAAGTGGATGTTTCGTGAATGCATCAATGACGATACACGGGATACGGGGATGTTTTACAGCGAGAATCTAACGAAGTGTTAACGTCTGGAAACAATCTAAGGAACCGTTTGTTCTTTATAGTATTAGGAAGATTTCAGTTGGTTAAAGAAAAAGAAAAATAATGCATACGTAATTTAAGACAACACCCCGGAAAATCTTCGTTTCACGATTGAAAACCGAAAAGATAGCAAATACATAAAATATTTCTGCGTCCTTGTTTTCCAAATACTGAGATATCCAAAATATCGTAAATTATCGCACACATCTCTATGTATATTTCCTGCTCATCTGAAATTTATACAGAAATCAGTGGTCGTCAAGGATGTCTGATAATATGAATGAATTATTTAACATGCACACACGTGTTTTTCATGTAATAAGATCGAAAACCAGTTAAAATGATCAACATCTTTATGGAATATAGTGTCACTTGAGACTAAGTACGACATGCGCGAAATATTTTTATCGACTGAAACATTAAACCTACCGTTGTTACAATGGCAAAATGTCCATTAGATGTTCTTCTCCTTTACGACAAAAAAGATATAGCTATTTATTACATTTTCAGCATTGAACTATAGGGATATCTCAAACTGATAAAAGTGAGATTTTTTTTGGTACAAAACTTAGGTTCATTTTTACCCATTGTTTCACTAGTGAAAAATATCACTTTGAGGATTGACCAATCAGAGAGCCCGATACAAATCTACTCCAATTCCAGGCAGGTTTGTTCACTGGGAACACAGCCTTCAACTCCACCATTAATTTCCATTTTCATGGCAGTCAGCAGACGATGCAAGCCAGTAACTCTAACCATGTTATCGGTGGTCAAACCCATTCCCGTTCTGAGAGTCTTGTGTGTGGACCAAGGCATTTAAAAAAAATCTGTGTCATTGATAGTGACAGCGACAAGGATTGCGCCATACTTTTTCATGTGCGGAAGAATTTATCAAACATTGTTTTTATTTTTTCAGTTAACGTTTAAACCATTTTATTGTGTATAAGTGACATCAATAAATTACAAAATCCATGTCCAAACATAAATAAATAGAGGAATTTTATAGTGTCTTCAGTAATAACAAAGATATTTCACTAGAGTGGCTAATATTTTGGTATCTTTCACGAGTGCTTCGCAAAAATATTAGCCACACGAGTGAAATATATTTGTTATTACTGAAGACGCTATTAAATATCCTATATGTACCAGTTTGCCCATACATATTTCTCGTAAGGATTTTCTGTTTTGTTCACACTCGGCAGAGGTGAACGAACTGCTACAGGGAGGTAAATATTAATCTTCCTTGGGACATTTCACGCGGTATCATAGGGCTTCAAGTTTCAAAGTTTGTCATATGTCTCTTCCGGGTCGAGATCATTGTCATCACACCTACATTGGAAGTGACTTTCAATAAAAGAAGACAAAGTGAGTGTGTTTGTAAGTTCAAGGTTAATTACTAAGATAATATCTTACCTATATCTGACCTTGTCGATTGTCCTAGTGATGTTGTCCCAGTTTCTAACCTTTAGAATTTGGTACCATTCCGTGCTGACAGATTTGTAGTTGTAGTTAATAGCTATATCATGCGCATACACTGTGCCGTTTTTCTTATAGGCATACGGACAGAACGAATCATACTGCGTCACACTGGTTTCAACGGCAATGGCTGAACCAAATATGACATCCCCGCCATGGATGTTGTTCCGGACGAGAGTGAAAAGAATTTCGTCGGTAAGGGAGAGCAGATTGCCATTTTCAAGAATAACTTCGGTAAGAAAGTTGGCCGTTCTTATAGCTGGTTCTGTATAAACACTCCATACCGAATTGTTGAAGGCCAGATTCAGGACTTCTTCGGTACCTCCTGTACATTGGCTGTTTTCAACGCGATATACATATTCCAGGGCCTGCTTCACTTGGTCTATTTGGGGAGAAAATAGTCATATTAAACGGCCATGCAATAAATATCATAATACACATTTATAATAACACTATCGTGACATCATAAATACGTCACGTCTTGATGCCGTCACATGATTATCTCGGTAGTGAAAAGCATGACGAAATATCTGTTTTATATGATACTTAATTTGAATGTTTTTTCGTTTTCTTTTTCCCCAGAAATAAAGCTGTATGATAAATATAAATGTACCTGTGTAATATAGCATTTAATAAACTCACATGATTTGTTTGCACTCGCCTAAGGCTCTTGACATATCAAGGTATTGACTTATTCTATAATAAAGTTCATCTAACACCGACTTTATGTACGATCCTCTCTATAAATATTCTAGAATCGATTTAAGCAACCAATATAAAGATATTTTTTTATTTTCGTTCTAATGATACATTTTATCGGACAAAGGAAGGAATAAACTTAAGTGTTTTGAAGAACTTAATTATTTATCACGATCTTAAAGCATTGTACTCTAACAAAAACGGAGATTATTTTCACAAAGATACGTGATCACCAGGTCTTTATAAATCTCGATTCTCTCGATAACGTGTACTGGCAATATTGCTTAAAACCATTTCAAACACATTTGTGTTCGTTTAGGGACTGTCTTGTGCTCTTAATGACATTCCTGTTATACAAGCCGCCCTAATATAACCTTACCTGTGTATGTATTGTCTTATAATTGATCATTAAAGATGACGTCTAAATCAGCTTAACCTCATATAACGGGCATGACAAGACTGTCGACATATTAAGATATCGCACGATTTTGATATCATTGTTTTAACATAATGCGTCTTTCGTTCACTTTTATCGAAATATTGTATGGTTTTGAGAATTCACTATTTATTTAAGTTGTATTTATTTCTGAAAGAGAGTAATCTAACTAGGCTACAGTAATGGCTTTAGCCTGCAGTGATTTGACGAGCTTTGCCTGTTTGTTCTATCTACAAAGAAACCAAAGTAAAAAAAAAACCAAAGTAAACTTTGCTTTGAGAAACATGTATTCAGACATGCAGAGTACATACTTGTATAGGGCAATGCTTTTCCCAGATTTCAAAATCAATATTTTGTGAAGGCTAAGCTAATACATCCCATAGCAAAACTCGGATAAAACAAAATTATGCATATGTTGTAATACGTGAATAAAGCTGATAATGTGCGATACTCTGCAACCTTTTAACAAACCTCATATCTAAACACGTATTCAGATTTCTGACTCCCTATTGGGCAGTTTATCCGTTCAGACAATCTGTTACATCTCTTATACTACAGAAGGGTTCCTCATATATTTCCCTTTTATCTGTGACTCAATCTGTTTGTGTTCACAAATTTTATATTTGTATCTCATTCTGTTTAATTCTGTTTGTGTTCACACTTTGTATTTGTGCCTATTTCTGTTTGTGTTCACATTTTGTATTTGTGCCTATTTCTGTTTGTGTTCACACTTTGTATTTGTGCCTAATTCTGTTTGTGTTCACACTTTGTATTTGTGCCTATTTCTGTTTGTGTTCACATTTTATATTTGTATCTCATTCTGTTTAATTCTGTTTGTGTTCACACTTTGTATTTGTGCCTAATTCTGTTGTTGCTCACATTTTGTATTTGTGCCTAATTCTGTTTGTGTTCACACTTTGTATTTGTGCCTATTTCTATTTGTGTTCACACTTTGTATTTGTGCCTATTTCTGTTTGTCTTCAAATTTTATATTTGTATCTCATTCTGTTTAATTCTGTTTGTGTTCACACTTTATATTTGTGCCTATTTCTGTTGTTGCTCACATTTTGTATTTGTGCCTAATTCTGTTTGTGTTCACACTTTGTATTTGTGCCTAATTCTGTTGTTGCTCACATTTTGTATTTGTGCCTAATTCTGTTTGTGTTCACACTTTGTATTTGTGCCTAATTCTGTTTGTGTTCACATTTTGTATTTGTGCCTAATTCTATTTAATTCTGTTTGTGTTCACATTTTTTATTTGTGCCTAATTCTATTTAATTCTGTTTGTGTTCACACTTTGTATTTGTGCCTAATTCTATTTAATTCTGTTTGTGCTCACATTTTGTATTTGTGCCTAATTCTATTTAATTCTGTTTGTGTTCACATTTTGTATTTGTGCCTAATTCTATTTAATTCTGTTTGTGTTCACACTTTGTATTTGTGCCTAATTCTGTTTGTATTCACACTTTGTATTTGTGCCTAATTCTGTTGTTGCTCACATTTTGTATTTGTGCCAAATCTGTTTGTGTTCACACTTTGTATTTGTGCCTAATTCTGTTTGTGTTCACATTTTGTATTTGTGCCTAATTCTATTCAATTCTGTTTGTGCTCACATTTTGTATTTGTGCCTAATTCTATTTAATTCTGTTTGTGTTCACACTTTGTATTTGTGCCTAATTCTATTTAATTCTGTTTGTGTTCACATTTTGTATTTGTGCCTAATTCTATTTAATTCTGTTTGTGTTCACATTTTGTATTTGTGCCTAATTCTATTTAATTCTGTTTGTGTTCACATTTTGTATTTGTGCCTAATTCTGTTTGTGTTCACACTTTGTATTTGTGCCTAATTCTGTTTGTGTTCACATTTTGTATTTGTGCCTAATTCTATTTAATTCTGTTTGTGTTCACATTTTGTATTTGTGCCTAATTCTATTTAATTCTGTTTGTGTTCACATTTTGTTTTTGTGCCTAATTCTATTTAATTCTGTTTGTGTTCACATTTTGTATTTGTGCCTAATTCTGTTTGTGTTCACACTTTGTATTTGTGCCTAATTCTGTTTGTGTTCACATTTTGTATTTGTGCCTAATTCTATTTAATTCTGTTTGTGTTCACATTTTGTATTTGTGCCTAATTCTATTTAATTCTGTTTGTGTTCACATTTTGTATTTGTGCCTAATTCTATTTAATTCTGTTTGTGTTCACACTTTGTATTTGTGCCTAATTCTGTTTGTGTTCACATTTTGTATTTGTGCCTAATTCTATTTAATTCTGTTTGTGTTCACACTTTGTATTTGTGCCTAATTCTGTTTGTATTCACACTTTGTATTTGTGCCTAATTCTGTTTGTGTTCACATTTTGTATTTGTGCCTAATTCTATTTAATTCTGTTTGTGTTCACACTTTGTATTTGTGCCTATTTGTGCCATTTTGTATTTGTGCCTAATTCTGTTTGTGTTCACACTTTGTATTTGTGCCTAATTCTGTTTGTGTTCACATTTTGTATTTGTGCCTAATTCTATTTAATTCTGTTTGTGTTCACATTTTGTATTTGTGCCTAATTTTATTTAATTCTGTTTGTGTTCACATTTTGTATTTGTGCCTAATTCTATTTAATTCTGTTTGTGTTCACATTTTATATTTGTATCTTATTCTGTTTAATTTGGTTGTGTTCACATTTTGTATTTCAGAGGTAACAAAATATCGAAGGGAATGGACATGTCACATTCCTATGCGCGTGCTTGTATTGCATTGGTGGATGTGCAATACAAGAATAGCGAACATGGATGTATTGCCCTGGACAGACCAGTACTACTTGGGTAGGAATGAGAGAATACATTGTTAACAATTTTCCAGCTTTGATTGTGGCATGTTTTAACACCTGTCGACAGGTGTGATAAGTAGTATTTACACTTCACGCTCAATATAAATAACAACAAGCTTACTACCCCGTACCTTTCTCGTGCAGATGATATTACTTAGTAATAGAACTATGATTAGACAAACTGCTTTGTAATTCGAATTTGACTTACAATTAAAATCAATATATATCATTTTGTCAAAGCATTTTCGAATATGTACCTGTGTTATTTTTTTCTTTAGTTTTCAGGGGATTCAAAATGACACGTGTTCTTTACAATATACCAATGTAGACTTGAACTAGAGAGTCATTGAAGAATTTAGGCATACTTTGGGAAAAACTTGAACTAGAGAGTCATTGAAGAATTTAGGCATACTTTGGGAAAAACTTGAACTAGAGAGTCATTGAAGAATTTAGGCATACTTTGGGTAAAACTTGAACTAGAGAGTCATTGAAGAATTTAGGCATACTTTGGGTAAAACTTGAACTAGAGAGTCATTGAAGAATTTAGGCATACTTTGGGAAAAACTTGAACTAGAGAGTCATTGAAGAATTTAGGCATACTTTGGGAAAAACTTAACGAAATGAAAATGGATAATTAGATATCGTTCAGTGATTGATGCAGTATATTGCGGCTTTATTTGGTAACGTAAGACTGCTATTTTTACTTTAGAGTAATAGAGTATGGCTGTCCTCCATTAATCCATAATAAGCGGTTTGTTCCGCTAAATATAAGATACAATTCAAGTAAATAGGGCAAAACAGGACATCATCTGGCTGTTATTTGGAATATTTGTAATGCTGTAAAGTTAAGGAAATGACTTTTCAGGAATAATTAATCATAATCGGACTAAGATGGCTCTTATCCTCTTTCATCAAGAGAAAGAAAATATTCTCCATTCATGGAAGATGTATTGAAGATATCTTTAAGTTTTACTTTCATATGAGATATGTTTGAGACTGTACAAAATACACACAAATAAGAGTACCTTTTAATCCAGATTTAGAGCCAAACAAAGAATTCAACTTAATCATATAGACGTTTCACCTGCTAGGACCAATTAATGATATCAAGGGCCTAAATTGTGAAACCTAGGAGTCGACTCAGAAAAAACAAATTGGAAAAAGTCAAAATTTAGAAAAGGAGATGCACTTGCCCCATACGTCAATAAATTTGGTAATTTTCTTATATTACACAATTTTAGAACAACGTCAAGTACATTCTGAACCGTGCCACTTTTAGAATGAATCAAAACGTGTCATGCAGGTTACGGCAAACCTCGGGGGCTTATGCAACGGGTCTCCTTAAGGCTGAGATGAACAATTAAATATTTCATAATTTACATTTCCTTTTATAGCAAATTTCCATTCTTAAATATTTCCCTTGTCA